TGCTCTTTGATCTTTATCAGTAAATGTTTTAAATCCTCTTCACTTTCAGCAAGCAAGGTTGTATCATCTGCATATAGCAGGTTGTTAATGAGTCTTATCAGCTTAAAGTATTAAAATAAGGACTTACAAATTGTGCAAAGAATAAATAGCATGAAAAGTTTTTTTAAAGTGTTGACACCAGCTGCTCTTCAGGTTCTATCCTCTCAATTTCACCCTTACCCTCCACTCCCATCCATAATTTTAAGGGAGTCTCCCATATCACTCAAAAGTACTGAAGGAGAAAGAGGTTCGAAACCACTGCTCTAATGTGGCAATAAATAAATGCTTGCTTGTTGTTGTTAAATGCTGTCGAGTTGGTTCCAACTCAAACGGACCCTATGTAGGGTTTCCAAGGCTGTAAAACTTTGCAGAAGAAAGCTTTATCTTCTCCCACAGAGTGGCTGATGATCTCAAACCTGCTACCTTTTGGTTTGAAGTCTAGTGCTTATCCTCTAGAGCCACCACATTCCTAAATGCTTATTTACTATCCTCAAAATGATTTGTGGGTATCTGTGAATCAACACTACCGCAGTCAGCTTGGTTTGGGTTCATACAGCTGTAACTAAATTCTCCAACAAATGCTCTACATATTGAAACGAGTGTGAGGACACTTTATGAAATGGCATTATCATACTCACTTTCTTCAGCAGCAGTATAGATTGTGCCTGGAAGTTTAGGGTGTGCATTGGTGGTCTTTGCAGCAATGACAACATTTGCTCCATCCTTCGCTGCTTTTAATGCAATAGCTTTGCCAATACCACGGCTTGCACCAGTGATAAAAAGTGTGCATCCTGCTAGCTTCCTAAAATAGAACAAAAAATGTGACCTTATCAGAAACTTCAATATTTTATTTACTAACCAGTATCATGAACTAGAATTGTCTCAACAACCATGGATTTGGTTTCTTACCAGAAACTCATGCCCATGTTTATAATAGACGTGTTTTCTCCTTTGTGAAGAAGCATTACCTGAACTGCGTTCCCACCCACCTGATAGCTAGAAATGATACTATATTTCCACTGTACAATGATTCATGGATCATTTATTATCACCAAAGTTGGCCAGCCATACTGTGATCTAGTAAACAAAATTTTACATGCAAAGTAAAATCTTAAAGAGAAATGATGAATTCGTAAACTATATATACATTTTCCCAGGAAGAAAGTGTAAACAAGGCTTATTTTTGGATGGCAGGATTATGAGTACAATTTATCATATTTTTATAGTCTTCAGTATTTTTCAAATTTTACATACCACAAAGGAGAAAAGGGCATAAGGCTTAAGACAAGACCCAGAGGATGACACTGTGAAAAAAAGAGAACAGACTGAAAGTGGGAGAAGTGGATTTTAAGATAAGGAACTGTTTGGTAAGAAGGGAAGAGGGAAGAGTGGCAAGTAGGAAGAGACAAAAGATGGGGAGAACTACTTTCAAAGGAATATAGAAAAGGTACAAAAATGCATGCAAAATCCTTTAGGTATGTTCCTCAAAACATGATGGGTTGCCAACAACTCTACTAGAACCACCTGTGAAAATCTGGCCAGGGTTCCCGCTCTTGCTGCATGTGTTCAAACCGGCAGAGTCTAATCCAGAAATACGGCCTCAACACATGCCACCAGCGCTTCCATCAATACGCGAAGGATACAGGCTTCATCAAGTTGAATTAAGCGAGCATCTTTGAATGGGTTATCCAAGGCACATCTACCCAACAAAAACAATGCCAACACTCTGTACATAAAAATTTCAATTTCAATTATGGCTGTTTTAATATGAATTGATTAATTCATTCATTATGAAAATGTTAAATATATATATATATATATGCACACACACATATACTATCATCTTTTTTAAAAAGCATGCAAAAATAATAAGCATCATTTATTGTTAGTTGTCATCAAGTTGATTCAAACTTATAGTGACCCCATTTGTGCAGAGCAGAACTGCTGCAGAGGGTTTTCAAGACTGAGACTTTTCAGTAACACATCACTAAGCCTCTCTTCTAAGGTACCATAGAGTGGGTCTGAACCAGCCATCTTTCAGCCAAGTAGTTGAGCACTTAACTATTTGCATTACCCGGGATCATGTACAAGAAACAGAATAATTACCAGTACCCCAGAAGACACCTGTCTACCATTCTTCAATTGCATCCTCCTTCTCTTCTCACCTCTCCCAAATTAAAAAAAAACCTTAAATATTATTACTAACTCCTATTGTTTTTACCATTCCTAGTACTCTCATCAAATGAGAAGAGGCCCCATAAAGTAAGATCCTGGAAAGTGAGAGGCCATTTAGGACACGTCAGCACCAGCTAAATGCAGCCATACAAATGACCTCAATTTACTTACACTACATGGAGAACAACTGAGTCAGCCCAGAAAATTGTTGTTTAAAACTCATTTGGGGGTGGTCTGTTACATAAGAATAGAAAACTGAAGCACACATTGAAGTTCAACTTCACCAAGCAATGCCATACCCCTTTACTACCAGCAGCAGTGTATACGCATGCGAGTTCCCAGACATTCACAACCGCTTCAAAGCTTTGCAATGTCATTTAAATATCTTCCCAATATTAAATGGTGTCTTGATGCAGTGTTCATTTGCATTTCCCTGATTACTAATAATTATATATTTTCATATGCTAATGGTCATTTGGAGTCCTGGTGAGACGCTGCAGGATAAGCACGCAACCGCAACATGAATCACTAAGGCAAAAAATTAATCATATAAAAAATGAGCACAAAAAATGAATAGGAACTTCATTACAGAAGAAACATAAATGCCTGTTGATGCTAACTGCCGTCGAGTCCGTTCTGACTCATAGCAACCCTGCATAGTTTTAAAGGAGCGGTTGGTGGGTTTGAACCGCTGATACTGCAGTTCAAACCAACCTTGTGGTCCAGCACATTATCCTTCGGCGCCACATCAGGACTCATAGAAGTCTATAAATTGCATGTATTAAATATCTTCTCACTGTAGCTTGCTATTTCACTGTTTTTAAAGTATCTTCTGATGAACAGAAATTTTTATTTTCATGTAATAGAGTTTCTTCATTTGTCCTTCTACAGCCAGTGCTTTTGGGATCTTAAGAAGTCCTTCCTACTTATAAGTGAATAAACAAAATTTCAAAAGTTTTACGGTTTATCTGTTAAAGTTTGGTGTTTAAGTCACCTTGAATTTACTTTTGTGTATGAATTGAGATATTGTTGTTAAGCGCCATCAGTCGGTTCCGACCCACAGCGACCCTGTATAGCATTTCCAAGGAGTGCCCGGTGCCCAATGAGCTTGAACCATTGACCTTGTGGTTCAAACCAACTTTGCAGTCCAGCACATTAGCCCACAGCCCCAAACCAGGACTCAGAGTCTGAAAAAAAAAACAACAACAAAAAAAACCCAACCAACAAACTAACCCTCACCACAGCGCACTCTACTTCTTATCTGGATTGGATAATTCATTGCAATGGCCACACGAAATCAGACAGCAGACTCAAAGTTATGGAGTCCTGGTGTGGCACTGTAGGATAAGACCACAAGGCTGGTTCGAAATGCAAGGTGGGCAGCCACACCTCGGGAACCTTATACAAGGTTCCTATGCATATGGCTCAGCATGTTGTTGTTGGTATGTGCCATGGAGTCAGTTCTGACTCATAGTGACCCTGTACACGGTTTCCAAGGCTGTAAATCTTTACGGGAACAGAAAGCCTCATCTTTCTCCCTCAGAACAGCTGGTAGTTTTGAACTGCTGACCTTGCGGTTCGCAGCCCGATTCATAACCACTACGCTACTAGAGCTCTTTATGGCTCAGCTTAAGATCTAGGATATCATGTTTGGTAAGATTGAGTCAGAGAAAAAGAGGAAGACCCCCAGCGAGATGGATTGGCAAAGTGGCAGCATCTATGGGCTCAAGTGTGGCCAACAATTGTAAGGCTGACCCTGGACCAGATGGTGTTTCATTCTTTTGTGCTTTGGGTCGCTGTGAGTCAGTACCAATTCAATGGCACTGAAAAACAACCACATGATCTAGTTTGGTGAATGTTCTTTGTGCACTTAAAAAAAAAAATGTGTATTCTACTGTTGTTGAAACAACTGTTCTATAGTATCTAGTACGTAAAGCTGGTTGACTGTGCTGTTCCAGTCTTTTATATTCTTATTGATTTTCTGTCTACTTATTCAATGAATTATTGAAGGTGGAATGCTAAAACTTCCAACTATTATGTTAATTTGTCTATTTCTCAATTCAATTCTGCTGGAGTCCTGGTGTGCCACTGGAGGATAAACACTGGATAGCAAGGTCAATTTGAACTTCAAAGTGATGGTGCAAACTCACCAGCCCACCAGTGGAAACCCTACACAGGGTTGATATGACTCAACACCATTTAACAAAATAAATGTTTGTTCATGGGTTTTGGCACTCTCCAATCCTGGTGTGGCGCTGTGAGTTAATGCGCCAGACTACAAAGTTGCTTGAACTGCAAAGTTGGTGGTTCAAGCTCACCAGCTGCTCCTCGGAAACCCTACACAGGGTCTCAACCGACTCAACGGCACTTAACAACAACAATGTCAATCCAACACCACAGGCTACTTCTTTTCCCTTTCTTATTTTACCTTATTCCTTTCATAGTGAGAATCTAGTTTCTAACATCAGTATATTTATTCATTTGTCATAAGATACACACATGCCATGACTGATCAAAATCTACTAGTAAAATAAAGTTCAAGATTTATTTTCAGTTCTTTTTATCTTCAGAAAAAAATCCTTCTAAAGCTGTGTAAATAACTATTTAAAAAAATGACTTAAATTAGCGCTTTTTCTCAGTATGTTTATGCGGTAAATTTGATATGGTTCATTTATTTATGTTGACATTCAATTTATTCTCTTTCCCTTCACCTTTATTGAGGGATGTTGTAAAACATGTATGCGTATCTTATAAACATATACACGCAGCAAAGTGTCTTTATATGTAAGGTAAGCAGATCATTAATTTACCTTTTTTCAAAAATACACACATGTATAATACACATTTTATTTATGTCTATGTGTGTGAAGGAGTACTGGTTGCATAGTGGATTATGAGCTGGCTGCTAACCACAAGGTCAGTCATTCAAATCCACCAGTTGCTCAGAGGGAAGATGAGGCTTTCTGCTTCCATAAAGATTTACAGCCTCGGAAACCCATTCAGGGTCGCTATGAGTCATAACAGACTCCACGACACACAACCACCACCACATGTGTGTGAAGTTGCCCTGGTGGCACTGTATGATAAGGACTGGACCGCTAATGGCAAGGTTGGCAGTTAAACCCATCATCTGCTACACAGGAGAAAGGTATGGCTGTCTGTTCCCATAAAGACTTACAGTCTTGGAAACCCTATACAGGGTCACTGAGTCAGAATCAAATCAAAACACTTAGCAACAACAACGTATTAAAGTGACTTTTAAAATAAAAGTATTTAAATGAAAATGTCTCAAATATTGCTTCCAAAAACTCTACCCCTTTGCCCTGATTATAGCTGGATTGATTCCCAATAGGTAAAAGGACGTTCTCCTCCTCCTGAGAGAGTCCTAGGCATTGGCAGAAAGGCAAAAGCAGCTGCTCTTAAACTGCAGCCAAGATCTGTGCACTAAGAAATAACTCTAGCTCAGAAACGTTAGCATCAGTATGAAGGACCATAGCACCTCAAAGAAAAGTGAAAAATTTCTTAGCAACATTGAGGAGTAGCTAAAATTTGCTAAAGTAGTGTTAGTCTACACTTTACTAAAATTCTCTAGAAATAGACCCCAAAACATACAAGAATTTGGTATATGACAAAGGTGGAATTTCAAACAAAAGGGAAAAGATTAACTAAGAGAATTAGACAGTGATCAGAACCAAAATAAAGCAGGTTTCTTAAGTCAAATCTTAGACCAAACCAAGTTTTAGGTAGCTAAAAATCATGGTTTAAGATTGTCTTATAGGCTTGTTACAAAAACCCAAAAGCCTTTAAAAAAAAAAGTTAAGTCTGATTTCATAATACAAACATTTTTGCAAATAACATTAAGTTATGAGAAAATGAAAAAACTTAGAAAAAATTTGTAACACAAATGATAAAAAAAACTGATTTTTAAGATATACAGAACTATAAGCAACAAGGACTGTGAGCCACAAGGTCAACCATAAAGTCAGCAGTTCAAACCCACCAGTTGCTGCTCCTCAGAAACCCTATGCAGGGTCGCTATGGATCAGCACCCACTCCACAGCACTCAACAACAATAACAATAAACAATCAAAATTTAATTGTTTAAGGCAGGCGAAGAAAAAGATAACAAAAATGGGCTTTAAGCCAGGTTTCTCAACCTCAGCAAATCTGACATTTGGACCAGGTAATTATTTGTTGTAAGGGATTGTTCTGTGCTTTGCAAGATGTTAATAACCCACATTCCTGAACTCTACCCACTAGATGCCAGCTGCATCCCCTTCATTTGTGACAATCAAAAATCTCTCCACACATTGCCAAGTGAATGTCCTCTGGAGAACAATACTGCCTCTACCTGAGAACCATTACTTTAAACATAAAACATCATCATCCTCACTCATGATAACAAATGCAAATTTTAACTTCTATAATGAAGTGCTATTTTTTCCCTCTAACTAGACTTTATTATCAAACATTTTAGTGCTTGCCTATGTGTTGGATAAGGCGCACTACAGTGGTTACAATTCGGGCTGCCAACCTCAAGGTCAGTAGTTGGAAACTACCAGCAGTTCCACGGGAGAAACACAAGGCGTTCAGCTCCCATAAAGATTTATAGCCTTGGAAACCCTGTGCAGGGTCACTATTGAGTCGGAACCGACTCCACGGTACTTAACAACAACAATGTGTTGGATTAGGAAAACACATTCATCCTTTAGGGAATGCAACCTCTTCGGAGGGCATTTAGCAATACCTATCAAAATTTAAAAGGAGCTCTGGTAGCGTAGTGGTTACGAATCGGGCTGCGAACCTTAAGGTCAGCGGTTCGAAACTACCAGCTGCTCCGTGGGAGAAAGATGAGGCTTTCTACTCCCGTAAGGATTTACACCCTCAGAAACCCTGTACAGGGTCGCTATGGGTCGGAACCGACTCTACGGCACTCAACAACAATCAAAATTTAAAGTACAGATACTCTTTAATAAGGAGCTCTGGTGGCGTAGTGGTTACAAGTTGGGTTGCTAACCTCAATGTCAGCAGTTCAAAACTATCAGCTGGTCCGCATGAGAAAAATGAGGCTTTCTGCTCCCGGGCACACCACCCCCACTATATTCTTTGATGTAGCCTTTCACTTCCAATATTTTATCTTACAGATACACTCACATAGGTGCAAATACATAAATACATTGATGCAAAAGTCAGAGAAACAAAAACCTGCAAAGTATTTGGTATACAACAATGCGGGACATATTAAATAATGTTGTTGTTATGTGCCATCGAGTCGGTTCGACCCATAGCGACCCCGTATAGGGTTTCCGAGGAGCGGCTGTTGAGTTAGAACCGCCAATCTTGCAGTTCAAACGGCTTTGCAGTCTGGCGCATTAACCCACACGCGCCACATAGGACTCCAAATAAATTATAGTACCTCATATAAAATGCAATTATTAAAAATGGAGGAGGAAGGTCTACATATATAATCTATACAAGGTCGCTGCAAGTCAGAACTGATTCCACAGCACTTAACAAAGACATATTAAGTAAAAATAGCAAGGCCTAGCTGCAAAGTAGGCTTGGACCACAAGGTCGGCAGTTCAAGCTCACCAGCTGCTCCTTGGAAACCCTATACAGGGTCGCTATGGGTCGGAATCGACTCGATTGCACTTGACAACATGAAGCATGCAGTTTACTATTATTTTTTAATGGTGATATATGTGTATATATACATATATAAATGCATAGAATATCTATAAAACCGAACAAAGTAATTGGGGGATGTGGATGTTTAGGACGTGGAGACATTTTACCGCACCGTTTTAAATTAAGTTTTGGGGGCACGCTCCTCTGTTTCTGGAAAATACTTTAGGGACACGTCACTCAACTCTAAATACACACACTTTGTGATTACTTTAACTTGTTACTAATTTGAAAATCACTTTTTAAACATGCCATTGTTTTATTATTTCAGATTTGAGCATGCAGAACAAGTGGAGACTCGTTAAAGGTACAGGAGCTGTTCCACATGACCTTTCACCCAGAAACAAGCATTCAGCTAGACGGGTACGGGACGTCCCGCCTAGGAGCGGTGTGGCAACCCACTCTCGGTCCTTCTCCCATGGAAAAGGCTTTTTTACCCGAGTGCTTCCCTGCAGTACTTAACTTTGGGTTACTTTCCACCTGTGACCACAGATTCTAGGTACCCTGTGTCCCCCGTAAACTAGAATTCCAGAACACGCCGAGACGCAGTAGAGTCTTCCTTAACCCTCCCACCGCCCGAGACCGGTCCACCGGCGCACTCCACTCCGCCTGGCCAGGTCTCTGGCCTCCCCTTGACACGGCACCCCTATCCCCTTACCCTGTGTTGGGTAGCATGACTATCGCAGATCAGAAGAAGTGTAGGCAGCTGTCCAGGGGTGGCAGCGGCGGTAAGATATCTACAAGACGTGGGCCTAGCCGTTGTATTTAGCCCCGCCCTGAACACCGCCCCCGTCCCCCCCCACCCCCGTGGCCCACGCAGGGGGTGGGCCTCTACGAGGACCGCGGAGTGCGCCTGCGCACGCAGTCGGCCGCCTTGATACTTGGCACTAATTTCCTGCTTAGCCCTTGGAAACCGGATGTCTGCGCAAGCGTTCTCAGAAGCAGCTCTGCCCCACCCGTTACAGCGCCCTGTGGTGACAATCGGTCTCTGGTCTACGTCTGGTGAACTGAGCGCGTCACACTCTACGTAGGGCTTTCTTGAGGGTTTCGTGTTGCGCCACGGTGTTCTCTCGCCAGCTCCGGGTCGGCACAGCGGTCATTTGCTTGGTTCGTTAGGGACCGTGAATAGGACTGCCGGGTTTCTGGGCAGGCCCTGAACGGGAATACTTTGAATCTCTTTGTCCCACCATGCCCGGGCCTTGGCACCTTCCTGGGTACAGACCTTCCTCGGTACCTCCTCTCAGGAACGTTTACCCTCGGCATAAATTCACTTTTTACCAAGTTGGCCAGCACCGCATTTCGGGACTGTCACACCAAGTCAACTGAGTTTGTAAATGCTTTTTACACACTTCGTTGATCGTTGATTACAAACGTGCGTTTGTAATTGCGTCTCTGTGATGAGGGCTCCGCGATTGAAGTACAGCTTTTTACAAAAGTCACGACTTAAGAATCCAATCTTTTAGCTATTATTGTTCAAATCTCGGCAACAGGAGTTTTTACTCCCAGCCTCAGTACTGGCATGAAGTAAATTTTGGGGTTCAGTATTACTTCTGGAAGTTCCTCGATGTTTCTAGCAAACTACATAATGGACATACCTCTCAGCTATCTTAATACATACTCCAGACTGGCACATTTGAAAGCAGAATGAAGAAATCACTGTTTATTGAGGAGTTTGTGTAGTAGAAGGGCTAGTTAAAGAAACCTGAAAATGGAGTATGTATTATTCAATTCATTGCAGCCCCCAAATGACTCTTTATTCATGTAAATCGCCTGCTGTAAGGTAAGCATTGGACTGTTAACCTCAAAGTCAGAGGTTCAAACCCTCCAGCCACTACTGGATAACCCTATTTAAGGACAATTTAACTGCACTTGACAACAACAAGCTTGTCCCCTATAGACATTTAAATTTCGTCTAGGCATTTAAATTTTGTCCATGGTATGATCCTTAGAGATTCTAGAGGAATTTATTCAACAAATAGGAGCACTTCGGTTGTTGTTAAGTGCCGTCGAGTCGGTTTCGACCCATAGCGACCCTGTATAGGGTTTCCAAGGAGCGATTGGTGAGCTTGAGCCACCGACCTTGTAGTTCAAACAGCTTTGCAGTCTGGCGCATTAACTCACAGCGCCACACCAGGGCTGTGCTGATCACTTGAGTAGGAAAAAAGGACAAGGTCTCTGTACCTATGTGGGAGGAATGATGAGTAGCTAATGGGGTCTTTAGACTTAGATGTTTTTAAAAGAATGTTGAGAGACGGTTAGAGGTTAGATAAAAACATTTGTTCTACACTCACACTTGGAAGTGTTTGTTCAAGTTACCACTTGTGAATCCCCATTTACATCTTGTTTTTCACAAATGAGGAAGGCAAAAATATTTTATGTACACTTAACAAAAATATGTATATATATTCATTTAATTGTCCAAAGGGAACATTCTCACAGCCAGCCTCCTGCCTTCAGGCACACAGCCTTTCTCAGTGCATGAGGCTAGAGCCCACAACTGCGCTGTCTCTCCATGCCATTGTCTCTGCCACCATCTTTGCTGTCACCACTTTTTTAGGTAGGGATCTCACGTTCCACTCAGACTCTTCCTTCTTGGTGGTCCTGGAATCACCTGTTCCTGAAATGAAAGATTAACGACTCCACACTTTTAGTTATATATCTTTAATCCTGCTAACAATTACTTCCATATTGTTTTAAACCTCCACTCCAGACTGCTTTACTTCTGCTCTGAAAGAAGCAGCTCATGGCCATTGTTTTCAGTCCTGTTAACAGAGGGAATTGAGAAATGACATAGTTTAGCTAAAGAAAAAAATTGTTTTCTCCACAGACGGTGGAAAGGAAGATTGCAATAATGATTATTTAGAGAATATTCCAGGAAACAGGTCTTGCAAACATTTGCAAAAGTTAAGAGAGCATATTAGAAAATAGATTGTAAATCTTTTACTCAAGAGATCAATTAGGCATTTATGTCTGTGTGAAAGCACTCTAAAACTGAGGTACTTCGCATAATTAAACATATCTATCCTTTTGGTGTAGGAGTTCTGGTAGCGTAGTGGTTACGAATCAGGCTGCTAATCTCACGGTTAGCAGTTTGAAACTACCAACTGTTCCATGGGAGAAAGATGAGGCTTTCTGCTCCCATAAAGATTTATAGCCTCGGAAACCCTGTAGGGGTCACTATGAGTCGGAACCGACTCCATGGCAAACAACAACAAAAACAACATCATCCTTTTGGTGTGGCATTGTAGGATCATCAGCACTTCCAACCACAAGGTCCTCAGTTCATACACATCAGCTGCTCCTTGGAAACCCTACGCAGGGTTATTATGAGTTGGAACCCGCTTGATGACACTTAACAAAAACAACAATCTTAAATTAAAGCTCCATTGTTGAATTAAACTTGCCCCAAATCCTGCTTGCAACCTTCTTAAAAATAAAGCCTGCGCTTAGGGTACACACTTTGGTTGGGTGAGGATGCATGGACGGGATGGTAACTATGCCAATGAAATGATAGATGATGGAATGAATGTAAAGCTAATGTTCTCCCATGTAGACTATCACACAATTCACAATAAAATAATAAAAATAAATAAAGCCTGTGATTCAGAGCTATAACTTCTTGTGAAGCTTTAACCACTCAGCAAAAATAGAGGGGAAAGAATATGATTTGTGAAGCAATGTTTGCCAAGGTGGTTTCAGTAGAATGTATACATAACTTACTAAACTGACTCTAAGAAGTCTATGTTAGAAAATAACTCAGCTAACCTTATAAAATTTCAATTTGTTATTGTAACCATGTATAATCCCAAACCCCCATGATTATAGTCACATACTCCCAGGAGTCCTGGTGTGACACTGAGGGTTCTTGCGTCAGACTGCAAAGCCATTTGAACTGCAAGGTCAGCGGTTCAAGCTTACCAGTTGCTCCTTGGAAACCCTTATATAGGATCACTATGGGTCAGAACCGACTCAACAGCACTTAACAACAATTCCCCTAATTTTTTTATATAGAAAACTCCCTTCTTTCTCAAGAATGTTAGAGCATTTTGGTGAATCCTAACTAAATGCTGTCCTGATATAAATCTCTATTCCTTCAGTAAAACTCTTTGCAGCAATTTTAACAGACTCTAGTCAGACTCTTTGGTGATATGTATACGAGAGATAAGCAAGCTTATCATATGATAGTTTCTACAGAGGGAAGTTAATAAATACTATCTAAAACTGAACACTCAAAAAACATTAGTTTGAGCATATTGTTTAGAAAGACAAGGTAAATTTTTTAAAAAGCAGTTGAATAGTTAAAGGTTGTTGTCTCAGGAGATTGCAAATTAGGCACAGGGAAGAACAAGATAGATGTTTCTATTTTTGTTGTTAGCCTTGCAGTCCCATGTATTGTAGTTTAATATACATATACTACTTTTATTTTAAATTTTAAATAAATAAATATTAAAGACAATTCAAGAAAGAAAATCCATACTTCAACCATCACCTAAGAATCTATATTCTTGAAATACAAAATAAAGAGTGGGAATTTTATAAAGTTTAAAGAAAAATTGGATTATAACTGGAAAACATTTTGAAACTCATATTTGAATTTGATAATTCAGAAATAGGAAATTATTTTGGAATCAGCGTCTTGAAAACCAGAGATTTGTTAGATTCAGAATAACCACCAGATGGCACTGTTATTTTAAATTTTTAATTTTTTACACTACTGTAAAACATTTATTTGTATTTCTAACTTACATATTATAATATAAATGCAGATTAAGGCAAAAATAGTACTAGGTTCTCCATAGCACTCCATAAAGGGGAAATAAAATTTAAATTCCTTAAATAAAATATTTTGTATCTCTTAAAAGGAAAATTATACTTTAGTTCAGTTAAAAGGGATCACGATGGCTCCATATAATAAGCACAGTACTGTGAACCACAAAGTCAGTGGTTTAAGTCCACCAGCTGCTCTGAGGGAGAATGATGAGGCTTTCTGTTCCTGCAAAAGTTTAAAGCCTCAGAAACCTTACACAGGGTTACTATGAGTAGGAACCAACTCAATGGCACTTAACAATAACAACAAAAGTCTACGTGACTTGTTGTTAAGTGCTGTTGAGTTAGTTCTGACTCATAGTGACCCTGTATGGATTTCCAAGGAGCAGCTGGTGACTTTGAACCACCAACCTTGTGGTTCAAACCAATCTTTCAGTCCAGTGCTTCATCCCATAGTGCCACACCAAGAGTTCCCCAATATTAAAAATTAATTTTCGGGAGAACAAACAAGATGGCGGATCGGGTGGATGTGTATTACAGAGCTCCGTCAACAACAACACAGAATACCCAACCAAGAAGGCTCAGGGGATGGTACCAGAACTCTGAACCACATATAAAGGAATACTTGAAGGTTGGAAGGCTCACAGCTGGGGGAATTTGTGGCAGAAGCAAGAAATCTATTGCTTTCTAGTCCGGGATGCTCGGCTGCTCCAGGAGCCGCCATCTGGGGTGAGACCACGTGGGGGAAGGATCGGAATGGTCACAGACACCTGGCAGAACCACTGAGATAAAGGTGTGGACATTCTTTTCTTTTTCATTCTGTTCATTGGTCCCTTGCTGTTTGCGCACCTCTATTCTGGTGACTACAGGGGAGCCTGAGCTAGTGGGCAC